ACCGGCATAACTACTGGGCTTTTCTAGGAGGACCAATACCCGATCAAGGTATTACTTTTATACATGAAATATTATGGACTTTTACTTCCCTTTTTGTAAGTCATTCTACACTTTCTGCACATTTGTGCTTTATACTGAATATAAAAATAGGCTTTTAAAACTCTGTTTACTTTTAAACTCACTAAAAAACTACTTGCTTGTGAAATTCTCTTAAAAATTCACTGCATCCATGAGGGGAGGGTAAAAATCAAGTAGGCAGTTAATTGCTATAGGTAGTGTGTGGAAAGGGGAGGGGAGAAAAATCTCCACAACTTACTGTGTGTGGAGAAGGAGGAGGAGGAGGAAGAAGAAGAAGATAGAGAGATTGGGAGTCAAAAGGTTGAAATACAAAGATAAAAGTTAGGAATTTCTCCCTAGTTCTTGTAACTACTGAAGAATAAGGGGTGAGGCTGTGAAAAACAAAAACAAAACACTATGGTTTCAACCTACTGGAGAATCAAGGCCCCAAAATTCAAAACACTGAAAATTACAAATCAGACTCAAAGAAGTGCAGTATGAGGATCTTACCAGGCCATAAAATAGGAATGTGTGACAAAGGTGGAGATATAGAACCAAGAGAGTTTTGTAGACTTCCAAAGACTAAAATGTCTTCAGTGTCTGATTCTGACTTCACATTCAATAGAGATTGGTCTAACTATACTTTTATAACCAATTTACATTGGCATGAGTGGCCGTTAAGGCCTCATAGGTTCGAATCACTTTTTGTAGCTACTACACTAGGAAAAAGTTACCTTTTGCATGTATGGACATCTACATATTTTGAGTAAATACAATTTTAAAAGACATTTTTAATCAATCTTTTCTATTTAATCTGTCATATATATTGCCCTTAAAGAATTAAACATTTTGTGAATTAGATTTTCTAACATTAGAGAGGACGTAGCCAGAAGGAAAGATACAAACTGGATTTCACCTTCCAAAAAGTGTCTTTAAAAAAAATCTTAGGTTGCCTTTTTTAAATGTTTTCCTTTATAGATCAGGAAATTTTCATATATTAAAAAGCTGACAATCGTTAAAACATTTTGTTTTATGCATCTCCTCACCCACAGAGAAGAAAAGTGCCGAGGAACTATTAAAAAGACAGCAATAAAACAGCCAAGGGTTGTGGCAGCAGAGGGTTTCTATGCCTGAAGCAGTCTGCAAAGATCACATGTACACTTCAACAAGGAAGAATCAGGAACTTGTATGTTACTATGATGATAGTAAACATGCAGTGCAGGTTTACTTGGAAGCAGGTCCTACTGAGCCAAATGGATCTCAATTCTTTGTAAGTGTGCTTCAGGTTGCAATGATAGCACTGGAAAGCAGCCTGCCCCAGTGACAGTTTTACTGACAGCAAGATTGCTTTCCACCCACCAACAGTGGGAATTTTGGCATGAATTTCAGCAGCAAAAACTAATAGTTTCATAGGACTGAATGGCAATATTCTCTTCTTGAATTCGAAAAAAAAACCCCTACCCATCAAATGGATAAATTGAAGGCGGGGAAAAGCAAAACTTTCCAGACAAAATGCAAGTTCTTCTTCCTTGTATATTGCACATTCATTCAAACCCTAAGCTTAGTCCCTCCATCAAACCCACACAATTTCAGATTTGCTTTTGGAAAAGTTGTTTCCAACCCACTCCCACAATAGAACAAATGCAGCTGTACTACTCAATCCAAATAGTTCATATCTAGATGAATTAAGAGACACACACATGCACGCACACACGCATACAAACTACATATAAGAAGTGAAGAGGCAGAGGCTAGGAACATAGTTCCTGCTATCAATGCAGAGCACTCTTAACTTTAATGCAGTTAATACATAGCTTACTAAATACCAGCAACAATCCCACTGCTCCCCCCCCCCCCCGCCGCCCATAAACAAGGATGCATGTAAAATAGAGAGACTGGGAGACCATCTCTACCAATGAACATACACCATAGTTAAGAGAATGATAACCTTTTAGCTCAGTTTGGGCTAAGTAAAGTCTGGGATTTCATCAGGCCCAGTGGATGAACTTGGTGGTGTTCATCTACAAAATTAATGGCTAAATTGCTGAGCAGAGTTCTCTTTCTGCTTCTTTTGCTTTCAAATATTTCAACAGATTGCAATACAATTTCTGAAAGAAGCTATAAATACACTAATAATGTAAGGACCAACCCCACCACCAAAGAATCTTTGTATTATTGAAGGCTATCAATAGCCAAGTGTATTTCTGGGTATTATATTAAACACAGTGACTCATACTTACACAATGAAAGATATATTACAATTTCTAGTTATGCCAAGATCTTTTAGCCCAACAAACCTTTAGGCCAAACTTTTCCCCCCCATTTAGAATGAGAAGATCTTGATTTGGAGAGTTTTAAAACATTCAATAAACTAATTTTAAAATTTAGATGCCCAGATGTCAAGGATTATAAGCATAATTATTTTTTTAATGCTCTATTTATGCCATACAAACATGTAGGCAGGACTTGACCTTCAGCAAGCCTGAAAGCCTACAGTACTGGTTTCTAGAGTTGCCAAGAGAGTAAAATGCCCATGTAAACTACCAACAACCCAATCCTAAGTACGTTTCACACACCAAAGCAAGTCCTAATTGTTTGAGCAGGTAGAATGTAATCACACTTACTTATCCCTAAATTATATTGAACTTTCTTGGACCTACTTCTGAGTAAAACATAGTTAGGGCTGGTTACACTGAAGTTTGCCAGCACAAGTGTACTGACAATTGTGCAAGTGATTTATTTGTAAAACTTAAAAAGAAAAAAGGATGGCCTGCCACCACAGGCCATCCTTCTACCTAAGGCTGCAATCCTATACCAACTTGGGACTCAACGGCATTCACCTCTTCAGAAAACATGCATAGGATTTTAGTCTACTTAAAACATTCATCCGTTTTTGTTGTCCAAAGTGTAAGACTGAAACGCAATAGCACGTTGTTGCTGTTTCCCCTCCCCCTTCCAATATGCATGAAAATATCTATCAATCTGGGGCAGAAGATTAAGCCCCCCTGCCTGTGGCCCATCTATAGGCCCAGGTCTCAGTAAAGAAAAGGGAACTGGAGCATGTCTCATTGGTAAAGCGGCTTCCTGCTGCTCTGGCTGCTGATTAAGCAAGAGTGTAATAAGGCAAGGGAGATGCAAAAGGCCTCCTCTCCTCCAGAGCATCTTTTTACAGCTACCCAGAGGTCCCGCCCAGGCCAATAAAGAGAGGAAAGCAAGAGCCACAACCGCAGCTCCAAGAGGTGGCTGCCGGTTGGGTTCTACACAGGCGCAATATAAAAGTCCATTGGAAAGGAAAGGGGGAGGGGAGCCTGGAAGCGAAGGACTACATCCAAGTTGCCTATAAAACACACACACACACCCAGACGGCTCTTCAATTATATCCAGTCGAAAGGCTGTGGGATGAACTGGAGCTGAAGGGGAGGGGGAAGAAGAAGAAGAAGAGGAGGAGGAAGAAGGGGAGAAGAGGAGAACTGCCTCGATGAAAAATGAGAGAAGCCACGAGCAGCCCTCCTCCCCCCCCCCCGCTGAAGAGAAAAGGTAGCCTCCCTTCGCGCATACAGAGGCTGGAAGGGGGAGGGGAGATGGATGCTCACGCTGCTGTCTCCCCAGCCAGCCGCCTCCCCTCCTCCATCCCGGCGCGCGCGCGCACACACACACGGCCGCGCGCACTCTCTCTCACGCGCACCCCCCCCTCGCTCCCTTTCCGAGCTGGCGCGCCAGACGGCGGCGCGCACCCCACGCCCCCTTCTCCTCTGGAAATTAGGATGGAGGAGGAGGAGAACGGAAGGAACGGTCTGGGAGGCAAGCGGCGCACTCTTCCAACTATCCACGGCTAAAATAGGCACGGCTCACACTGATAATTTGACCGCACGAACCTCTTCCCTCCCCCCCCCGCACAACAACACACGCCGACAACGTCACTCCTCGTCCCCATCCCCCTCCAGCCGCGCGCTCCTGAGGCGACGCAGCAAACAAGCATTCCGAGCGGAGACCGAGCGCCCGCCGCGCATGGTCAAGACACACCCCCTTCGCCTCAGTCCGGGAGGCTGCCTGAAGGAAAGGCACCCTCGTCCCTCCTTTTTCACGCCTCCCGCAAAAGCACCTCAAGGAGAGCGCGTCGAGAAAGGAGGGAGGGAGGGCGAGGAAAAAGGCGTCCCTTCTCCTCAGAGAAATAAATAAAAATCTCTTTTTTTTCCCTGAGAGAAGGGTGGAGAGCGGGGAGGGAGTCCGAGGCGAGAGGGATATCTAAGACCGTTGTGAGAAATAAACCTCTCGCCTCAGTCACAGAAATGCGCGCGCGCGCACACACACAGAGTCTGAAGGCGACCCGCGCGCCTCCAACACAGCACAGCTACACGAAGCTCCCACATACACACAAACACACACACACACAATATCTCTTCCCTGCCGGCTCCCAAGGACGCGAGCATCCTTGGTACCTGCTGCCACCTCTCTCTCGACAGGAAGAAACCCCCGCCCCCGCGCGCGCCGCCCAAACGCACAGCCCGAAAACACGCACTGGCTGAACCAGAGAGCCCAGACCGCCTCGCCTTTTTCTTTTCTTTTTTCCCCCCCTTCCCCCTCCCCGGGTTCAGCCTTCCTGCTTCGCCTCCGCCCACTCAGTACCTCCGACGAAAAAGCCTGAAGGAGCGGATAACTGAGGGGAGAGAGAAAGGGAGAAGGCGCGAGGGAGAAGAGGATATTGGAAGGGGGGAGAGAGGGAGAGAAAGCAAGGGAAGAGGTCTAAAAAGAGGAGGATCAGCCCTTTAAAAGTCTATATGCTACCTTCAACCTCCCCCTTTTTTTCTCTTCGCTCCCCTCCCCCCCATAAGACTCCCTGAAGCCTCAGCTAAGGCTCCTCCATGGGTGAGGGAGGGGTTGGCTATTATACATGGCGTCTCCACCAGCGCCCCTTCTATAGACACTAATAGCGAATCGAGTTTCTATCAGTTCCAGCTGATTTATTAAAATTGTCAAGATACAGACTTTCAGCATTTCTTTCTTTTTTTAAAAAAAAACAAACAAACAGGCAATGATGTCGACAGTGCACAAGTCTGCTTTTTTGCCACTGTTTGCTACAAAATACGCAGATGGTCTGTACTTCTATATTGCACAAAATGAGAAACTTTTACTATGTGCCTTTCTTTTTTCCCATTCCATCTTTTTTTTTGCTTAAAAAAAAAGTCGAGAATCCAGTTTCATACCTTCCATCTGGGCCCCCATCCACATATCACAGCGTATGAGATACATAAATTCCTACTATAGTACAGTACATATACAATCTTTTAAACTAAGATAACAGCTCTGAGGTCTATATCACCATTTTCAATAAATCTTTACCTACAAATATTGAACAAATCTGAACTATAGCTGTACAAAAAAAGTGTTTCTTTTTTTTCTTTTTAAACCACAAGGCCTTTAGATGCAAGGATTTTTTTTTAATCCTTTTAAAACCAGGACATAAACGTACCCATATAACTTGCATGCTAAAAACAGAGGAAAAAAAATAAAACATAAAAATAAAAGGGAAGAAGTGCCTGAAAAGTCTTACTGAAAAAACACAGCAAGAATGTTCCCTTTCACTGTACAAAAATACGCCTGAAAATATATTAATTTTTAAAAAAGACTGAGGTCTGTTATGTATCAAAAATGTTTCAATACCTTTGTGTACTGAGGTCTAGGCTGTCTGGTATTCAATCAAGGAGGTATAAGGGAACAAGTTACAAAAAAAAAGTTGGCAAGTAGAAATCACATTTGTAAAACCATAAACAATTTGATCTGAAAAGTAAACTCTGATCTTAAGTCAGTTCACAGTTTTTGTTTTTTGTAAGCGTTTGTACAGTCTGCATTTTTTTTTTCCAAGCTCCCTGCAGCTTTGTTAAGAATCGGATGCATAGAAGACATCAGTTTTCTCCCTCCAAACAAACAAAAACAGTTGCAATGGTCCCTTTTACAAATAAAAAAAGAGAGAAAGAGAGAGAAATATATCAGAAAAATCAGAACGGTCCTTTAAAAATCTTTGTAGGAGAAACAAAAAAATCCACAAACCCCCTTGAGTAATAGTTGTGCTGCCAAAAGACTTTCTTCTTCGTTTTTTTGCAGACCATCTTCCAGACTTCAATCGCAAGACCCACAAGCTTCAAACAGCGCCTTCTGTATCTTTGTAACCCCCAGTCCCATTTGCTTTTTTCTGCTTCTCTCCTTGCTGCTGCTGTTGCGACCACCAATTAAAATCAGAAGGGAAAAATAACAAAAACGGGAAGGAAAAAAAAAATCACAACTCCAGACTCGGTTTGGAACTAACTTCAAGACTTAGAAAAAAAAAGAAAAGGAAAAAAAACCCAAAGACATTTTTTTTGTCGTCGTTACTTCAAAACTCCACCACTTTTCAGCGTGTAAGCATCTCTCTTTCCCCGATCTGCCCCTCTTTCTGCTTCCCAGTCCTTTTGATCGCTCTCAGCTTGTTCACCTGCCCATCGCTTCTCCTTCTCCTCCTCCTCGTCCTTCTGCTCTCTCAGTAGGTGAAAACCAAGTCGGAGAAGTTCGCCTCCAGCCAGTCCCCCGCGATCATCTCGCTCAGCTCCGGGGTGCAGTAATCGGGGAACTCGAAGTGGGAGCCCAAGCTGCCCTCGCTGAACGAATCCAGATCTTTGTCCACCAGCGAGAGCGACAGGTTCCCGGCGGCCGAGCCGACGCCCAGCTCGGAGGCGGCGTGCGGGTGCTGCGAGAAATTCAAGCTCAGGTCGAACATCAGGTCGTCGGCCTCTTCGCCGCCGCTGCTGCTGCCGCTGCTGGAGGAGGAGGACGACGAAGAGGAAGTGGAGATCGAGCGGGAGGAAGCCGGCGGCAGGCCGGCCTGCGGGGCGCTCTTGGGCATGCTCTTGAAGCCGTAGTACAGGCGGCCCGCGCTGGCGCCGTGCGCCGCAGCGCCGCCCCTCACCTCGTCGTACAGGCTGGCGCCTTCGCTCGACTCGGCCGACGAGCTCAAGGTGGGGCTGGCCGGCACTTTGGCCACGCTGTAGCGCCGCAGCTGCTGCTGTTGCTGCTGCTGCCGGCGGCTCTCCTCCTCGTCGTCGTCGTCCTCGTCGTCCTCCTGCTTGATCCGCAGCTGCAGGTCGTCGTCGTCCTCCTCGTCGTCGTCCTCGTCGTCCAGGAAGACGCACTTGGCCGCCTTGCCGCCCCCTTTCAGCGCGCCGAACTGGGCGTACTCGTCCCCGCCGTAGTCGCCCGGGTGTGCCGCCAGCTTCGTCCCGGGCTTCGGCGGAGACGACGACGTCTTCCCTTTGCTACATTTCTTGCTGGAGCTTTTGGCGCTTTTGCTGCTGCTGCTGCTGCCGTGGTTGCCGCCTCCTCCGCTGCCGCCGCCGCCGCTGGTGGGTGTGTTTTTCTCCGGGCTGTGGTTGTTGGCGCTGCTGGGCTTGGCGGACGGGTCTATTTTGGGCTTTTTCCTCGGCCGGTACTTGTAATCGGGGTAGTCGGCCATGTGTTTGAGGCGCAGCCGCTCGGCCTCGCGGATGAACGGGATCTTCTCGCTGTCCTTCAGCATTTTCCACCGCTTGCCCAGGCGCTTGGAGATCTCGGCGTTGTGCATGTCGGGCGACTGCTCCATGATTTTTCTCCGCTCGATCTTGGACCACACCATGAAGGCGTTCATGGGCCGCTTGATGTGGCCCGAGGCCGTTTTGCACCAGTCCGGGTCGCTCTCGTCCAGCGCCACCGGACTGCAAGCCATGAACTCGCCTTCCTCCGTATCCATCGCTTCTCGGGGCAGGTTGCTCTCGGCTTCTGGACTTTCCGCTTGCTGCACCATGGTGGGGGTGTGTCGCTTCGCTTGAGTTGCTTGCCTTGCCGCGTTTTATTTGGAAATTATAATAATGTTCTTTTTCCTTTTGCTTTGCTCCCACCGGCTGCTTGCACACCTCGAGCGAGCGGTTGCAAGGTGACGCCCGGTGTGCAAGTTGCAAGCGGCTTTTTTTCCTTCCCCTCCTCCTTTCCTTCTCCTGCTCCTCTCCCTGGGCTGCTGCCGCTGGCCGTTCCTCCAGCAGCGGCAGAAGCAGGACTCGCTCCGGCTCTTTCCCCTCCCCCTGCAGCAGCCACAGCAGCCGCCCGGACCCAGAGATGTCGCTGGATCACACTCCCCCTTCTGCAAAAGTTGCGGGTCCTCTCCGAACTAGTTATCAGGGTTTCATATGGGTGACATCACTCCCCGGGCCAGCCAATGGCGCCGCTCCGCCCCGCCCCTCGGCTCCTCCCCTCGGCCTTTATTAAGTTCCCCCACATGTCTGCAGACACACCCCCTTCGCCGCGGCTCTTGCAAACGGGTGGAAGTGCGAAGGGGGCCGGGCTTGCAGCTTCGTGGGGAGGGGGAGACAGCCAGCGACTGGCTCGTAGATGGATCATTAAAGCTGAGTTGGATTAATGATTTCACCCTCTCCTCTCCTTCGGCTTCCTAGAGCCCGGACGCTTTTGCAGAGCATTTACGGTGATTATTTTATTTACCAGAATCCGCCAAGGTGAATCTGGTGAGAGATGATTCCCACATCGCCGGGTGTCGTCCTGGGTGAGCTCATGGCTTGTAGGAATCGAAGCGCGTCCTCGGGGCATCGTCTCCTGCTTCGGGGTTTTGCTTTTCGCGCAGCAGCTGTAGGTGGCGCTTGAGTACCGCGAGCTTCTGAAAGGGAGGCTCGCCTTTCATTTCATCTCATTTTGGCGAGACAAACAATTATTATATACATCCTCCGGATTGCATATTGTTTGATTTCCTTCCTCTTTCCCAACCCCCCCCTCCCCGGACCTCCCATCCTACCAGATCCCAAAGTCGAGCTATATTGGTGCCTTTCGCGTCTGCCTTGCAAAAAGAAATAGCAGGCGGAACAGACTAGCGGCCGCGCGCTTTTGATAGGTTAATGTCAGTGGCGCCCGTTTGAAAGCAACACTGTAGGCGTTTCTCATGCCCCAGGGACTGTTTGTTGGTAGACTTTAGGAGTGAAGTATTAAAACTCGCTTTCATGTTTATCTTCATTACACAATCCAATTGTCGTCAACTAATACCAAGTGCTTACCTCTATTCATATCTTATCACTACCCCCTTTCAACGAAATGCATCCCATTAATACTTGTTTTGTTCTCCGTTTCCTTAACCCATCATTCCCCTTGGTGAGCGAGGGGGAGGGGTGAAGAATCCAAAGCAAGTTGGGATGCTTTATAATATAATAACGGAAACGTAAGATTACCCACGCCATATCCAAACTCTGGCAAAACAGGAGAGGGTGAGCCATGTCAAAGGCAGCGCAATGTCCCGAGCCCCACCTCTGGTTTAAATCTGGACTGCCCCACATTTGTGATTAAAACGTAAAATAGACATTCAGTCTAAACTTTCTTCCTTTTTGTTCTGCATGAACAGTGTTCACACATTTCTGCAAATAGCCCAAGAGCGGCTCAGAGGTGCTTTGAGTGTTATGAATGCCAAAGTGCTTGTATTTACAAGCCACATAGGGTTAGGGCATAATGACACTTTGGAAAATTAAGATTTATGGCCTCATCTTAAAGCTCTTTTCTTTTCTTTTTTTGCACCAGCACATGCATACTTAACTAGGACTGACTATACAGTACTAACACAACCAACCTCAGGTCCATCATCAAACAGTATGTAACTCCAATGTTGCAGCAATGTTAATGAGAGTGCTACAGGCATTCATAGAATCGTACAGTTGGAAGGGACCCCAAGGGTCATCTAGTCCAACCCCCTGCAATTCAGGAATCTCAGCTGAAGCATCCACGACAGATGACCATACAAGCACTGCTTTAAAACCTCCAAGGAATGAGAGTTTGGGGGCACAATTCTGAAAAAGAGAGGGGTGCATTTATGTTCACAGATCTTTGGTGACTCAATAAACACAAGTGAATAAGTAGCATGCATTATATAAAAAAACTGCATAATGGTTAATTAAGAAGAAGAAGAAGAGTTTGGATTTGGCCTTTCACTCCCTTTTAAGCAGTCTCAAAGCGGCTAACATTCTCCTTTCCCTTCCTCCCCCACAACAAACACTCTGTAAGGTGAGTGGGGCTGAGAGACTTCAAAGAAGTGTGACTGGCCCAAGGTCACCCAGCAGCTGCATGTGGAGGAGCAGAGACGTGAACCCGGTTCCCCAGATTACAAGACTACCGCTCTTAACCACTACACCACACTGGCTCTCTCCAGTGAATGGAGAGAGGGCCATCTTGCTTTTTGTTTGAATTCTTTTCATGCCATACCTTTCATAACTTTCAGGATACAAAACCCACCAAGGCTGCTTACAAGAAACAAGATTTTTTTAAAAAAAACAACAAACACCCCACAATAAAGAATATCAACATATAAAAAGTCATCGGGGCACTTGGTAATACAGTGGTACCTTGGGCTACATACGCTTCAGGTTACATACGCTTCAGGTTACAGACTCCGCTAACCCAGAAATAGTGCTTCAGGTTAAGAAATTTGCTTCAGGATGAGAACAGAAATTGTGCTCCAGTGGCGCGGTGGCAGCAGGAGGCCCCATTAGCTAAAGTGGTGCTTCAGGTTAAGAATAGTTTCAGGTTAAGAACAGACCTCCAGAACGAATTAAGTACTTAACCCGAGGTACCACTGTAGAATGATGGAGGAGGAATGTACATGAGTACACACAAGCATAAGTCTTTATCAGTAAGCTTAACATGCTGGCCTCTTGGTCAAGGTTAGAATGGACCACACACACACAGCTCCTGAAGTGAGCAGATCTTGGCCTCTCCCTCCCAGTAAACAGTGGTTTGCATACTACATGTTTTCCCAGACCTCTGTACTGGCCAATAACAAAACACTCTGACACACAAAAAATGCCATGTTTATTAATACAGTATGAACACAACTTATGCAAGTGTTACATTCCTAGTAGTTGCATGTAAATGCAAAATCATGTAAAGTCAGAATGATCCCCAGAACCGCCCCCACTGTCTAAGATCTTGTGAGATTTGGGGCCGTTTGAGATACTTCACAACCCTCACAGTGGCTTGTAAGCAAGACTGAGGGGTTAAAAATGCTTTCTAGAAGCAAAGGGCATTCCTACCACTTTGGAGGTGTTCACAAGATCTTGGATGGCCTTTGATCTCACAAAGACCCCATGAGATCTTATGAAGGCCCAGTGGGAAAACCTTTTGCAGAAAAAGCTCTTAAGTCAGTCCTCTGGGACCACTGCACAAGGGTATCCTGTCTGTCTCTCTGTCTGTCTGTCTGTCTGTCTGTCTGTTTGTCTATCTATCTATCTATCTATCTATCTATCTATCTATCTATTGGTGTTTTGTAGAAAGCTGTGATCAACTAAGTAAAATCAGTGCAAGTTGTGGTCTTACTGTAGCATACAAGCACTAGCCTGTTCCAATGATAACTGCCCAAAATGAAGTTCCCACATAAATTTCTTTTTTTAGAAGGGAAACGCTGTGCTGGGGAGACTTTGGCTATCCACACCAGTCCGTTTAACTAAAGCACCTGCAGGCACCATTGCAACAATTGGGGAACCTGAACCAGTCACTCTTTTTTTCTCTGTAAAAGCAGAGAAGGGGAACCTCAGCTGCAGGGATAAAATATGGCCCTCCATGCCTCTCTCTCTGGCCCTCAAGACTTTCTGCAGGCCACACCCATTGCCAAGCCACAACCTTCCCTGCTACCTCCTTCAGTGCTTTTTCCTGGCAGGAATGTGTCATTGGACTGCAATAAAGCTACTTGATTTCTAGGCTGGAGGTGTCTGTGTGTGTGTGTGTGTGTGTGTGTGTGTGTGTGTGTGTGTTGGGTGCAGGGAGGAATTTTCTCACTGCAAGGGAAGATACATGATATCATTAACTAAAATTGCAGAAGGAAATCCCCTCTCTCTCTCTCCATTCCCAGGAAAAGCTCCTATGGCATCAAAGTGGCTGGTTTGTCCGTTTCCCATCTTTCAATCCTTGAAACTCAAGTCAGAGTGGATGAAGGGGTGAAGGAAAGACGATCTGCTACATCTTCAGTTTTCATCAAAAACAGGGTGTATTTTGTAACAAAGAAGTAACATTGACAAGATTTCCCCTCTGTCACTGTTGCAGCTAGTTTTGCTACAGTTTCAATGTAAGAAAAGGAAAGAAGGTGAAATTGTCAGACCCTATGTTAACTTCGTCTTATTTTTATTTTGGTCTTTAGCTGTAATGGGATTCCTACAGTTTTACTTCTACCCAAAGGGCTGCATTATAAAACAAGTACAGTCGTACCTTGGACCCTGAACACCCTGGAACTTGGATGTTTTGGCTCCCGAATGCCGCAAACCTGGAAGTGGTTGTTCCAGTTTGCAAACGTTCTTTAGGAACCCGAACGTCTGACAGGGCTTCCACGGCTTCTGATTGGCTACAGGAACTTTCTGCAGCCAATCAGAAGCTGCAATTTGGTTTTCAAACGTTTTGGAAGTCAAACGGACTTCCAGAACGGATTCTGTCCAACATCCAAGGTACGACTGTAATGGTGGGAAGGTGCTCAGAAAATGGACAGAGGTAGTATTTCACACCATCAACAAACATATCACAAACCATACCTCCAAACTCAGTAAAGTAATTCAGTTCAGATATCCTAGAACATCTGCAGTGAAAACACCAAAAATACAATAAAATCGGCAATTAAAGAGACAGAGTGATACATTTTGTTCGTTCGTTTTAGAATTGGGAAGCAGGAATGCAATGGTTTGGGAGGAATGTCATCTGGATTCTCAGCAAAAGACAGGAGTGAGAGAAAATTGTCAATATGTGGAAGCTCCCATAGTCTGCCTCCATAAACAACTTCTTTTACACCAAGTGCTGTCTGCTAAAGCAAAAACATGCCAATATAATTGAGTTTGGGATCACAAATTGCCTGCTATGCTATATTATATAATTTTATTGTCAAGCTGGCAAGAGGTTAACATAACTGCCACAAGGCATGATGCAGACACCCAGGGTGTTTGTCAAAATTAAAAATTTAATTATGCAGTTCTATCTTTAACCTATTCTACCGAGACTTTATGAAATATACAGGAGGCTGTGAACTCACTGTTCTGAGAAATGCAAGCAATGAAACATTTCCCTCTGTTTGTGCAAAACGAAGAGAGGGAAAATGAAATCAGATAGCATAGTATATTTA